TAGTACGGCACCGACTCGTCAAAGGTGACGTCCTGGGAGGACAGAACACGGTGCGAGGTGGGGTGGTAAAACTGCCACCCACGCGCGTCAGGGGGGGAAGCCAAGGAAGACGCAGGGAACAGCACGGGGGGACAGCTTGTCCGCAGACAAGTCGCGAACAAACGCCCGAGATCCCCAGACCCGAAACGCAGACGCATCGCCAACCTTCCCCGTCCACCGCAGGGTGGGGGAGGTCTCTGGCAAGGAGACCTGGGGCTGGAGGTTGAGCTGATGCGCTGCGTACTGAACCGAAAACGGCCACAAAAAATGGGGGGCAGCCGCAAGGATCATGGACGTACGAGCGACGTCCATGACCATGCCAATGCGGTGCTCAGCAATCCCATTTTGCTGTGGAGAGGCCGGAAGCGTGAAGGTCTAGCGGATGCCCTGTGCTCGACAGAAGGCTCCCATACGGGCAGAGGAAAACTCCCCGCCTCTGTCAGAGTGCAGACGCAGAACAGGAAAGTCCGAGCCGAAACTCTCTTTGAGCTGGAGACGAGCTGCGCGGATCCAGTCGATCAACACCTCAATGACGGCACCCTTGCTGCGCAAGGGGAAGACTGTGGTGTAAGGCGAGTAGTCGTCCACCACCAACAGGAAGTAACGCTCGTGACCCTGGCCACGGACTCGGGCGGGGCCCCACACGTCCATGTGATGAGTCTGCAGCGGAGCCTCTACCGGAGGAAACTCGGAGGAGTGAGGGGCGGCGCGTTGTCGCCCCTCGACGCAGGGGACGCAGGTAGGGGCAGGCCCCGGAGGTAGGGGAGGTAGAGACCGGGGGAGACCAGAGACAAGGACACGGGAGGCCATGCCTCGGAGACGAGGCAGGGAGGGGTGACCAAGGCGATGGTGCCAGAGGAGAGTCTGGTGGGACAGGAGACGACACGAGCAGGGCGCAGACTCAGGTTCAGACCTGGACGCTGCAGCAAACACCTGACTCGACGCAACTACCTGACCAGACTCAGTAACCGGAGGAGACTTAGTAGTCAGTGTGTACAGGCTCGACCCTGGCCGACGGGTAAACGTGGCCAAGTGCCGGCCCGTCCGAGCACACGTACAGTGGGTCACCCGCTGACTCGTAGGAGTGAACTAGTCAACCCCCCTATCCTGTCGATCAGCTCCACTCACCAAGTTCGTAGAGAACGAGGGGAGGTAGAGACCTGAAAGGGTGCCAGAGGGGGCTGCCGGGCACGGTAAGACAGTGGAGAAGCTAGCAAGGACAGGACCCCCCGAGGGGTCCGCCAGGGAGACTGCAACCGGCCGACTAAGCGGCGTAAGCGTGGTGCGGTCTCGAAAGAAAGAGCGGGAAGCACCCGACTCAAGGGTGAAGGTGTGTAAGGCCTGAGCCGACGTGGTACCTGAGAGAGCAGACTCACCAGCACCTGGGGCAGCAGACGCACTAGCACCTAGAGCAGCAGCCTCACCAGCACCTAGAGCAGCAGCCTCAATGCCCGGGTCAGGCGGAACACACAGGTAACAGTCACCCTCATCACTAGTAGACTCAGCATACATGGTAGCAAGAATAGAATCATAATCATGGTAGGGTAAGGAATTTTCTCGGCATTCCTTACGGAGCCCCACTACATCGCGTACAACAACAGCCGTTGTTCGCCCGTTGCTGCTAACGCGGCTTCGCCAACTTCGTGCGCACTGTTTTGCCAAACATCGCCCCGCTGGCCCGGCCGTGTCGGCCTACGCTTCGGGACTAGCTTGAGCCTCGCTGCCAGCATACCACTAGCTACCTCGCACGCACCGCGTTACCGTTTGCATGTTTTGCGCATAAATGTTCGCTCATGCCATTGCTCACATCTTTGTACTCGTTGACACCTTAGTGCAATTCTCGCTACTTCGATTCATTGCACCCGTAACAACTGATATACTATGCAATTCTTCAGTTACTAAAGTATATTTTTACGTCCTTCATATCAAACTTAAGCTCATAGCAATTTCGCTCCATATAGCCTGCTTTTGAATTAGAAGCAGAGCCAAACAAGGAGCATTTCATCATGGACTTCAAACGTTGGGTGTTGGGCATGATATTGAAAACCATCGTCTCTCCGAGGTACTAGCTCTACCAAGGTTTCATACATAAGTGATTAAATTTCATAAGGTATCAATCTGGAAGTGCAGACCAATCCCGAAGTTCATGACCCCATAGCGAACCCAGCACCGAGTGCCCACCACAGCCCGCATTTAATGCTCTTTCCGATCCTTCCGAAGTTGCCAAGATGTTTCATTGTTCAAACCAATCGTCATGCCTGGACAACCTCCATCTTTGTAACCGCTTCGTAATGATGAGATGCAAGTCTATTGTCACGGCTGGATCGTGTTCGGCGAGTGGTTCAGCGATTCGGCAGCCTGATTTGTCACTTTGTCGTTTTTTGCAAAATGTTTGTATCCAAACGTCCAAGGGTTGCAAGGAGGGGATGTTCTACACTCTGTACACTATTGACATTTGTTTTCAAAGTGTTTTGTTTTGCTTGAATATGCGTATGCTTTTTTCATATGCTCTTCTGTTTTCTCCAAGGTAGTCCCCCTTGAGCTTGATGGCTAACCTTGAACTCAGCGTTACCAACACAAAATGTTGGGTAGGTATTTCTGATGTGGTATTTTCAATAAAAGTAGAAGTCTAACTATCTCTCCTTAGTCCTGAACAAGCAGTGAACATTCCCACCTTGTGTGTTCTTCTCATGGACTCTCTCCCGAAAGGCATCAAGTTTGAGGTGGCGCTTTGCGTATTGGTGTGCTTGTGCACAACTCAAGTCTAGGGGTTTGTATGTTACACCACCGGGTTCTCACACGATGCTCGTTTGACTAACCCAAAGTTGCTTTGTAAATAGGGCTTTTAACTGGTTCTGAGCATTTCGCAAATGTCTTCAACGTTGCACCTAGAAAAATGGGGCTTATAAAAAATTTGTAGCTCTTTGTTGACAATTTGACTTTGGTCTCTTCTGTTTGACTTAGGTTTCTGTGGTTCGTATTGGTTCATAACCACTCCAACATGCACGAGGGGCTTGTTATGTGGGTGCAACTAGCTGGTTATAGAAACACGTCTGTAGACTTTCTATTGTAGAGTTAATTCGCGCACCATTGCTGAGCACCTTGTGTATGAAGAATAGAAAATCCTCGTTCAGATGAGATTTAATTCATCATGATTCAGGAACCCAAACCGAGTCCCCCTTCCCCGTCAGTGACTATGCTTCCAAAGGTGGTCGGACACAAACAATGGTCTGTTCGAACTGGCTCCCTCGCTTTCACTGCTGCCCTGGGCTGAAAGGTACAGTAACAAAAGCATCCATGCTTCGGTGTCCCTTCGGTGTAACCTGGACTCACGGGAACCCGCTATTTCTTTTAAGGTTGATGCCTCCCCAAGACGCATCCCTTTCCGATTGGGTTTTGGTTTTTTTTTGTCAGGTTTTTTCAGTGTTTTTCGAATGTGGGACACGTGGGTGTATCTGGAGCCAAGTTCTGTGTTTTTGCAATAACCTTCCTGTCGGAGGGACGGAGGGGCGGAAAGTGCCCGCAACTAACACTGTAGTTCCCTGGAAAGCGCAGGGTCGCTAGTACACCCGCCAAAGCTACTTAACCTCAGAGTTGTGCAACTACAGTGCTCTCACGAACTGTGCAGTGGAGGCGGCGTCAATGGGCAGGTCCAACTAACTCAAACCTCCACTTGCTCGCGTGCATGTATGAGCTTACGTCCTTCGTACCTTAGTGAACTGTTCTTGAAATCCTTTAACCATTCTGTACCGTGGTTCTTTTCGTCGACATCCCCTCCATCTCCACTCCACATTTGCTCCTGAAATGAAGCCATTCCAGCTCGAATGAAGGATTCTTCGTGTCTGTCAAATGACAAGCTAATAGTTTCTACGTTCAGTTCCACATTCCATGCCTACTTAAAGAGTTATTCTGAACGTTAGATATTCCATGCACTTCATTTCCTTTGCCATGATAACACACTGACGCTACTGACCCTTTTGCTCTCGTCAAGACTAAGCCTGGGTATTCCTTTTGGTAGAATGAGTTCACGTTTGGGAGGATATCGCAGCTCGTCTGACGGCATAACGTTCCACTTTCTCCCGTTATCCAGTCAAAAGTCGGCCATGACTCCATCATGCGACGCGGCGGCTCTCTGCGTCAGTAGAGACGCGGCGAAGCGAAGGCGAACGACGACATGCTCGTACGCGTCTCGTTTCGACGACTTACCGGTAAGCAAAAACATCACAAACGCAACAATCCACGAAATGTCCTCCCTTGCTAGCTTGTCGCGTTGCGCTGCCGCATCGCAACCTACCCGCGTCGCACTGCTTCCCCCGCCTCCTCCCCTCGGCCCCCCCGCACGTCATCGTTCGCCTTCGCTTCGCCGCAAACTCTCCGCGGTGCCGTCTTCCTCGCGGATTACTTCTCCTCGACATCGCGGAAAGTATTAGGCGCCTCAAAACTCAAGGAATACCCCTCTTCGTCATCGCGGAGCTCCCTACGTCGCGTCGCATCGAGACCTCAAAAGCGGGAGTCCCGCATTTCGCACGATTTTCCCCTCCCCGGCGCCATCGCGCTCGATGTCCTTGCGAGATGAACCCTCGTCAACTCAGAACGAACTCACATTCGAAAGCCATGGACCGCCGGAACTCCGCCGGAGCTGAGAGGGAGCTGCGCGGGGAAAAGAAGAATCTTGCTCCTCCCCTCCCATACCCCCGCCGCAAACCCACGCGGCGCCTCCGCGTTCGCGCGTCGAGCGTCACACCCCACGCGCGTCGACACGTAAACTGATTTTCCCTTCCGTTCCCCACCTTCTTCCGCGTGTCCATTCCCCTCAGGACGAGCTCGTCGCGTGCGTTCTCCAGCATCTCGCGGCGCGAGCGCGCTCCCCCGCCGACCTGGTCAACGCGTGGCTGACGTGTCGCCGCGTGTGCGCGCTGGGCGCCGAGCCGCACGTGCTGAGGCGCGCGTCGCCCGCGGCCATGGCGGTGTCGGCGCCGTCTTGGTCGGACGGCGCGCATCGGTTCCTCAAACGGTGCGCCTCGGCGGGCAACCTCGACGCATGCTACTCGCTCGGCATGGTCAGTCCCATCGTTCGCTCGCCGTTCAGTCCGTCTTCGTCGTTTTCGTTCGCTAAGCTCTTGTCACCTTTGAGGAAAATTCGTAAGTGACACCTTACGTCAGGAAAATGAACGAATGGCTTGGCGAGGATAAGCATATCGAGAATAAAACACCCAATGGACTTATGTCTGCCCTCGTCGCACCTAGACCGAGCCGTCCGCGGGTGTTTCGGCGGCGTCGCTTTGCGGCTGCCTGCCCGCACGGCGCTCGCCAGCCACTCACATTTGCGCTTGCGCGACATGCGCGTTGCACGCGCTCACACACACCCTCCTGCTCCTCACTTCTCTTTCACACTCCCCTCTTTTTCCTCCGTCATCTCCCCACTCCCCCTCCTTTTCCCCCACAGATTCAATTCTACTGCCTCGAGGACCGCCGCGGCGGAGCGACGCTGCTCGCGCGCGCCGCGCTCGGCGGGCACGCGCACGCGCTGCACTCGCTCTCCGTGATCCACTTCAACGGCAGCAGCGGCACGCGCCTCGACCGCGACCTGCTCGCGGGCGTGCTGCTGTGCGCGAAAGCCGCGGCGCAAGGCCACGTGGAGGCGCTTCGGGAGCTGGGGCACTGCCTGCAGGACGGGTACGGGGTTCCGCGGAACGTGGCGGAGGGGAGGCGGCTGCTGCTCGAGGCGAACACTAGGGAGGCCGCTACAGTTGCCGCCGCTACAGCCGCCACAGCCGCTACAACGGCTGCAGGTGCTGCTGGAACCTCTTCAGTCGCGGTTGGAGCCACTACAGCAGTTGATGCAGCACCAGCAGGGGCAGCAGCTGCTACAGCCGGAAGAGCGGGTACAGCATTTGCAGCTGCTGCGATCTCTCCGCCTCCTGTCGCAACACAAACTGTTGCTGCACACGCGCCTTGGCGTCCAGAGGCAACAGAAGCTGTTGCAGGGGGGGCATTCGCAGAGGGGACAGTCGCAGAAGGAGCATTCGCAGGAGGGACAGGCGCAGGGGAGACAGTCGCAGGGGGGACAGTCACAGGGGGAGCAGTTGCTAGGTTAGCACCTGGAACGCCCGAAGCCGCGGAAATTGTGAGAATTGCATGGGCAACGGGGAATACCGAAGCAGCAACAGCTGTGGTAGTTACTCCGCAGAGCCATTTTACCAGGCAGGTCCGCGTTATAAATGACCCCAGCTCTGTTCAGCAACAGTACAGGGGTCAGCTACAGCATTTTGACTACCAGCCCCAGCACCAACAGGGTATTACAACTTCCCCAGCCCAGCCCTTTCCAGTTCAACCCTCCCTCTTCCCAGTTCAGCCGTCCCCAGTACAGAACTTATCAGCTCAGCCTTTCCATATTCAGCCCCCTGAAACTCAACCCTCCCCAGCTGTTCCCTCTCAGAGATCCACCCAGCAATATGTCTTCTCGTCCGTAGCTCCCACAATTCCCCGCCGAACCTCCCGGCCTCGTTTGGATCTCCAAGCCCTGCACGGCTTGGCTCGGGCTCGCCGAGCCTATGGCGCACTGGTGTCCCCTGCTGAGGCTGCTGAAATGCTCCGGGCCTCAGCAGTCACTGCCGTGCCTATTGCTACGGTGCTGGCGAGAGAACCAGGGGCTGCCATGACAGCACCTGCAGCACCATCAGCAGAAGCATCAGCATCAGCAGCAGCAGAACCGGCAGCACCAGCTCCAGCATCAGCAGTCACTGCCGTGCCTTTTGCAATGGTGCTGGCGAGAGAACCAGGGGCTGCCATGACAGCAGCCGCAGCAGCAGCAGCAGAACTGGCAGGGCCATCAGCAGCAGCAGCAGCATCAACAGGAGCTGCAGCAGTAGCATTACCAGAAGCATCAGCAGCGACAGCGACAGAAATAGACCCACGCACGGAAGCAGGGGCCCCAGTCTCTGCTGACCAGGCGAGGCCTTCTGTTGCTTCACCTGAAAGAACACCTGAACCTATCCCTGAGGGTGTCCACTCTGCCCAGACGCTCAGGATGCAGCATGCCACTGCCACACAGCAGGTTCAAGGCCACAATGCAGAGCACCTGCTGCTCCATAGCCAAACCGCATTGGTTTACCAGCAGCAGGTGCAGCAGCAGCAGATGCAGCCTACTGTCCTTACGCACCCTTCAGGCCATGCACGCCCTGTAGGTCCAGAAGCAGCGGATTCTACGGCTGTGTTGCCCTCCTGTGCTGTGTATGGTGTTGGCTACCGTTGCTGCTGCCTGCCCACAGTGACCCTCCCGCCGTTCTCCTGGCACGCTGCTGTGCATAAATTCCTTGTGGACTGGCGTGGCATCTATGGGCTCCCTGAAGGCCTTCGGCTGTGCTCTAATTCCCGCTGCGGCCGGTCTGAGACACGGCGGCAGGAGTTTAGGTGCTGCTCTGCGTGTGGAGAGGCTAAGTATTGTAGCAGGGCGTGTCAGGCGTTGGATTGGAAAGCTGGGCATAAGCTGGTTTGTGCCATGTTGCTTGCGACTGCTCAGCGGCAGCAGCAGCAGCAGAGGCAGCAGCGGCAGATGCAGCAGTATTTACTTGCGCACCATAATCAAGAGCTGAATGACCAGCACCAACATTATAGACACGTTGCAGGCCAGCATGTTCACATCCATGGTCCACGTGAGAATCAGCAACATGCTGCATAAAAAGAGGCAATGTGTTCAGCCGAGTAAAATACGTTGAAAGGCTAATGCATGGAGAAGTAGTTTTAGTGTAGTTGTTAGGAATTTTCTCGGCATTCCTTACGGAGCCCGACTGTTGGAAACAATCGGTCCTAAGCGCCTCTGTCGTGTCGAAACACTAAAAGACACAAGTGAAGCAACGCATATCGAGACACCAGCGAGTCAACCCTCGGATGTTGAAGCAACAGCTGGAGGTTACGCGAAGGTCAAAGGTCAGCGACCTTTGACTTGACAAATGCAGCGCGACAGCAAGGACACACAACTGACTCGATATTGAGCAGTTGCCCGAGTCGCACTGTATCGAACCGCAACAGCCAACAGTAAAACAGTTATCATTCGTATCTCTTCGTATTCCTTGTAATCATATATAAAATCTTGTATCTCCTTGTTTTAATCAACTTACTTTGCCCTCACATACTAGCGCAAGGTGGTTCACTCTTTGTTAACGCTTCCGCTACTACATCATTCTACCCAGACATTAACCCTACCAAAGATCCTAAGGGGCACTCAGCCCAATATGGTATGAGAGCAGGTTAGGGTTAAAATTCTATTTCCCCTTAAATTACACCAAGAAACATGTCGACCAGAAAGGAGAGGAGCTCCTCCAACGGCTCTCCTGGTACTAATCCTACTCCACCTCCTGCCTCTGGCCTACAGACAGAGGAAGGCACAACAACGAGACCGGCCGCTGGGTCTACTGAAACACCCGCAAACCAAGGCGCGAGCTTCGATCCAAGCATGATGGAGAAGTTCTTCTCCTTCATGTCCTTCTACGAGCAGCATCAGCAAGGAGTACCTGCGCAATCAAACAACAGCAACAACAACAACAACAACAACAACAACAACAACAACAACAACGTGACACCCATGAGTATTGATGGCTCATCCTACGCGCGCGGGAATCAACAACAACAACCTACCTTCGCTCCGTACGAGCCCCAGCGCGGCTCCGTCAGCTTCATGCCACAACCACAACCTGCACCGGGACAAGAAAGAACGCTGGACGCACTGCAAGTTCAGTCGCAGTTCGCGCACGTTTTAAAACTGCAAACGACAAAACCTTTCGACGAGAAGGACTTCTTTACCTGGTCGTTCGAATTCGAGCTGATGATGGAAGGAGCGCAAATCTTTGGCTTCTTCGTGTCAAACATTATATATGTTGTGCTTGTTTAGGCTACAGTGGGTTAGCCTATAGGGGGTACACAATTCTAGGGTTAGGTACTTGTACTGATTTCACTGTTAGTTCAATCATTCCTGTTCGTTCATTTCAACATGGTATAGAGCAAGTCCTTCGCTAGGACCGTTTTTTTGGGGCCCACCACTACCTACCTACCTACCTACCTAACTGCGCCCTAGGGCGCCTCGTTTTTCACGGCCCCCTAAGGCCCCGCGACCCGCGACCCGCCCCTTAGCGACTCGCCTGGGGCCTGGGGGTGCGGAGCCTCGGGGTGCGGAGCCTGGGGGTGCGGAGCCTAGGGGTGCTGAGCCTTGGGGTGCGGAGCCTGGGGGTGCTGAGCCTAGGAGTACTGAGCCTGGGGGTGCTGAGCCGCAGAGTCCGGAGTCTGGGGGTTCTGAGTCTGGAGGTCCTGAGCCTGAGGGTCCTACACCTGGCGGAGCCCTCTCCTCGGAGCAGCTGCGTGAGTGGTACTTCCAGTACTACAGCCTCAGGAGAGGTACCTCTGGAGCCAGGCGTACTACTGGGACTGGTGCTAGTGCTTCTCCTCCTAGCCAGGAGCTCGTGAGTGGTACGAGCGGCGCTGCACTCTTCGGAGTGGCGCGCCTGGTGTCGCGGACCCCGCTGCTGCTGGTGGTGCTACTGGTGCTGCGGCCCCAGAGGTTGGAGCTGTTTCTGGTGCTGCGGACCCGGGCGTTGGAGCTACGGCTGGTGCTGCGGACCCGGGCGCTGGTGCTGGTGCTGGTGCTGAGTACCCGGGCGTTGGAGCTGCTGCTGGTACTGAGGACCCGGGCGTTGGAGCTGCTGCTGGTGCTGAGGACCCTGGAGCTGGTGCTGCTGCTGGTGATGTGGAGTCGGGCGTTGGAGCTGCTGCTGGTGCGGAGGACCCTGGCGCTAGTGTCTCTGCTGGTTCTGGAGTCGCTGCATGGCAGCGGCCGTACTTCGTTCCGCTCCTTCAGCAGGTTCTTGGTCTCCCGCCTTCTCTCGGTCCTCCTCCTCCCTTATAGTGTCCATAGCCTGTCCAGTCATGGTTCCAATTACAGCCCGCCTCCCCACTGCCTGCTCCTTCTCCCTACACTGGTCCTACTGGAGGTCTTGCTGAGCGTCGTGAGCCTGCATCTCGCCCTGCGTCGCCTGTCCGTACTACTCGCACTAGTGGTTGCGGTTCGCGTCAGCGTCCTCCTCCTGTCCCTAGCACGCACCGGATGTTTCTGCGTCCGTCCACTGCTCCTCTGCGTGCCCCTTTGCCTTCTCCTCCTGGGTCCTCTCTTCCTGCTCTTCCCGACCCGGAGTCAGACTCTCTTCGTACTGCCAGTCCTACTGTCACGCGTCTCCTTGCTACTGTCGTCACTGACCCTTCTTTTGAGTCCACTGCTGCGTCTGCCCTAGTTGCTGAGCTCGTCGACTTTGCTGCTCGCTGTCGTCTAGACTACGCTGCTAGTCTTGTCACTGAGTCTGAGTCTGTCTGTCCTCCGTCCGTCGGGGGTGAGTGTGCCCTTGGCACGGACGTCCTTGAGGACAGGCAGGAGGAGTTCCAGTGCTTGGCCGCTGCTTCACCTCATCTCGTGTCCGTACTGCTTACCCTTGAGGGAGACCTGGATGCACTTAACATCCCGACTCCGCGCTCTTACGCGGAGGCGATAGAGGGTCCCTACTCTTCTTAGTGGGAGGCAGCTATGGATGCAGAGATGGCTTCCTGGAAGTCCACAGGCACCTACGCTGATGCTGTCCCCCCTCCTGGGGCGAACATTGTCAGTGGCATGTGGATTTTCAGGGTGAAGCGGCCGCCGGGTTCTCCGCCTGTCTTCAAGGCACGTTACGTGGCTCGTGGCCTCAGTCAGCGGCAGGGAGTTGACTACTTTCAGACCTTCTCTCCCACCCCGAAGATGACCACTCTTTGGGTACTACTGCACGTAGCTGCTCACCGTGACCACGAGCTACACTCTCTTGACTTCAGCACTGCCTTCCTGCAGGGCAGCCTGCACGAGGAGATCTGGCTGCGCCGCCCACTTGGCTTCACTAGGACTTTTCCTCCTGGCACCCAGTGGAGCCTCCGGCGGCCAGTCTACGGTCTCCGCCAGGCACCGCGTGAGTGGCACGACACACTGAGGACTACGCTTGTGGCTCTTGGGTTTGCTCCCTCTACTACCGACCCGTCGCTGTTTCTACGCACCGATACTTCTCTGCCGCCGTTCTACATCCTCGTGTACGTCGACGACTTGGTCTTTGCCACAGCTGACACTGTTGGACTCGCCTACGTGAAGTCCGAGCTGCAGAAGAGACACACGTGCACAGACCTGGGTGAACTGCGCAGCTACCTTGGCTTGCAGATCACCCGGGACAGAGCACGCCGCACCATCACCCTGACTCAGTCACACATGGTGCAGCAGGTCCTTCAGCGCTTCGGCTTCACGTACTCCTCGCCTCAGGCCACTCCTCTGCCTACTCGCCACTCGCTCTCAGCTCTGCCTTCGGATGAGTCTGTAGAGTCGAGTGGCCCGTACCCAGAGCTTGTTGGCTGCCTCATGTACCTGATGACCTGCACACGACCTGACCTTGCATACCCTCTTAGCATTCTCGCA